GGCAGGGACAGCGTAGACATTGATCGTCATAGTGGTGGCAGTACCGTACATGTAGTAGTGGAAAGAGAGCTGCAGACAGCCTGCTGAGGAAGTGGCAGGGCTTAAGAGCTCCGCTGCCGCTCCTTCCTTGGCGTAGCTCGAGTCCAACAGTAGGTATAGGCCAACTGTGCAGAAAACAAAGGAGGCCATTATCAGAACTTCGGTGATGAATATCATTTCTTCTTTTTGGTTACATTGTCCTGTACTTTAAATATGTGTGGCGTATTTGATTACAGGCACTGTCTTGGCAGGATGAAGGTAAACAAAACATTGGTTTTGATGCTTAAGATGTAAAATGAAATAGGAGCTCTAAAAACGACTGGAAACTACACAAGAGAAAAGCAAAAATTGTAACCCAAGCACAATGAAGCTTAGCCAAAATGATTTACAATGCCTGGATGTCCTGTTTCCTCATTACAACCTCATTGTTTCTTGTCTTTCCAACCAGTTAGCTTTATCAGCCTGATGTCATCATTTAGCAGTATATAGCATTTAACTGTGAGATTTTATAGTCAACCAAAGTCATACTATAAACCTCTGCCTTCCAGACAATATAAGTATGACATTCCATCCCATACAATCCCCTGTTACTGAGCTGTCTGACCACATGCTGCACACTGTGTGCGGTGTCACTCACGTCCGGGCTTGGAGTAGTCGTCATCTGGCCCAGTTCCCTCTGTTTCTGTGGACCCAGGCCACTGCTCCCAGCCAACGATGTCTGCTGGTGCTTTAGTTGTCCAGCCACACAAGTCATCGAAGGTGTCAAAGTCACATTCTGACAAACAGCCAACTGTGAAACACAATATTAAGAAACTGTCAATTCTGCTTAAACAGCTGTATATTGAATGAACCAGAGAACATACAGAATATCTCAACCAAGAGGCTGCTCACCCCATCATGCTAACTTCCATGGTCAATGACTTAGTGGCTACATTATCTGACTTGAATGAATATAATTACTATGTTTCAGTACCAGCCTTTAGGCATCTATTCCAACCTGTCTTGTAAGGAAATCTTTTTTGTTATGACTTGAACCATTTCCCAAATAGTCTGTGTTCCTTAAACTGTAACATAAACCTAGAACACTTCAACTTAATTACATCCATCAGGAATTTTTTCTCCTTCACTTATTTTTTTCCTATTTCAACTATTTCACTATTTCAAGTTATTAATGACTGTCTCTGTTCTCCCCTTTCATACCACAAACAAAACGTGTTCCTCTCTGCTGAAATTTGGCATATCACAAATGTGCATTTTGTTTTCTGTTTTTTAAGCAATAATGACAGAAGTTCGGAAGTGGTTTGTTGATGCCTCATCTTTTTAAACCTCCCCACCAAGCTTTGCTGGAATTTCTAAATTTTCTGAAACTGAGTAAAATATGAGTATGTTTATCAATATGCAACCTTGCATTGCATTGAAGCAATATTTTTGCAGAGTTGAATACTATCGCTTTTACATTGAATAATTAGGACCATTCAATTACTGTTCAGGAGACCTAAGTTCAGAAATGTTACATTAATACAGTAATGACAACTCTTCTATATTCTGGAAAAGATTAAATTTCTGTTGACCCAAATGTTTGTCCTTCAGAGGCACCTCCAAAAATGCATCGTGTGGTTAAAAGCTCAAAACCAAGATACTGTGTTTCATACCTAGAGGATGACAACCATATTCTCCGTCTTGCAGCTGACAGGACTCTGAAGGGCCACAGCTAGTTTCGTGGCACTCAATCACTCCTTCTCCTCGACACAGACATCTCTGGGTACAACTCTCCACGTACCAGCTCTCGTTAGCCTAAAGGACAAACACATACTGTACAGCTTTTATCCTGCCATTTCATATGGTACAGAGATGGGACTTTGATCATTTG